AGAGAGAGAGAGAGAGAGAGAGAGAGAGAGAGAGAGAGAGAGAGAGCGATACAAGATTGGTCGTGCAGTTCAAGGAAGAAGGTGGTGGCCATGGCCGAGGAGAAGAAAGAAGTGACGAAGAAGGAGAGAGGCCATAGCCGAGGAGAAAGAACGGACGAAGAAGGAGAGAGAAGCCATAGCCGGGGTGAAAGAAGAAGGAAGGAAGGAGAGAGGAGGGAAGAGTGAAGGTTGGTGGGAGAGATGGGGTTGGCAGCCATAGCCGAGTTGAGCGTTGACTGAGGCGTTGACTGGGGAGTTGACCGGTGTTGACCAAGGTGTTGATCGAGGTGTTGACTGAGGTGTTGACCGAGGTGTTGTTCGAGGTGTTGACCAAGGTGTTCACTTGGGTTGACTTGGGCTTTGACCAAGGTGTTGACTGGTCTTGACTTGGATGTTGACTGAGGTGTTGATTGGGCTTGACCTAGATGTTGACTGAGGTGTTGACCGGTGTTGACCGAGGCGTTGACCGAGGAGTTGACCAGCGTTGACCAGAGTTGATCGGAGCTGGTGACCACAAATTTGACCAAGCTGGAGTTGGTATAATCTTGCCAAGCCTTCAGCCTATTCCCTCGCCTTATGGATGTGCACTCACCCCATGGTACTTGCCGAGTTTGTCTGTCTCTTCGTTCTGCATGAAGTCTCTTCTGTCCAGGTGATAGGAACTCCGTGTATGTGGTCATAGAGCTGTGTTGACCAAACCCACAGGGGCTGACTAGGGTTGTTGTCCATGTTTGACGACTGACATGTCCCGGAGGACTAACCTTCCCAAGGACCAGTACAGACCGGCGGGCTGCTCAGTGTGGCATGGTTGGCCCAAAATCCGAGTTGTGGGCTGCACAACCAGTTGTCTAAGTCTTGAGAGGACTTGCTGATCGCGTCGTTATGTTTGCAATGTTAAAGAATTCATGAGGAGTTATGGGGGATCTCTCTTTAAATGCCTCCTGATCAGCAGTAAAGTCTTGTAGTGACAGCCTTAGTAGTAGGTCGAGGCTAGAGACCATAGTTGACAGGGTCCTAAAGGGACTTTGTAGTCCTTAGAGAGTCAGTTGCTAGTCAATGGGTAGGTCTAAGTGGTGATGAGTGGGACCGTCTTTTGTCGCGGACCTATCGCCATGGATGACTACCCGATGTTCGACTTACTCGTGGGGTTCTCCCTCTGGGGGACCCTTTGGCGCCTTCTGATTCCCTTAGGTTTCCGACACACATTTTTGTGTAGAGTCCAGACGAGGGGAGGTACTGGGATCACTCCATATACGAAGAAGAGGAAGAAAAGTTAAAAGGCAGTGGAAGGGAGTAAGAAGTGCCCCTGGTAAGAAACGTCAAAAGAGAAAGAGGGGAGTCGAGTGGTACGAAGATGGAGGACCAATGAATCGAGAAGGTGTCGGAATGGGTTGCTAATCTGTCTCGGGGCGAAGAAGAGGAAGCAAGAAGTGCCCCTGGTAAGAAATGTCAAAAGAGAAAGAGGGGAGTAAAGTGGTACGAAGATGGAGGACCAATGAATCGAGAAGGTGTCGGAATGGGTTGCTAATCTGTCTCGGGGCGAAGAAGAGGAAGCAATGTAATATGTCCCCATGGCAGAACAGGAGGTAGTGATAAAAGTGTCGGATGTCGAGGAAGATCCCTTACGCCGCCAAACAATAGAAGAAGAGAGAAAGTTGGACTAGAAACTGCGCCTCACTAGAGAAAAGAGGCAACGAATGGAGGCAACAAATACGATGGAGGAGTTGAGGGGGATAAATGAATATCGAAGGCAGATGGAAGGCCAGGTGGAATTGCAAGGTAAATTGAACGCTATGGCTAAGAACATATAGCTTCTTGCGAAAGCCCAACAAGACTAGTATCAGTTCGTCCGGGGCCAAGACATAGCCTTACAATCCATACGTCTGGGGTTTAGACAGTTTGCTCGTGAAATGATGATGCACAGGGGCACAGAGATGAAGGTCAGAATAGAAAGTACATAGCGATTCTGCACGGGTGCCATAGAGGTGCCAAATTGGCATCTCCAAAGGGGGAGGAAGTGTGGCCACGTAGAGACCCAGTCAAGGTGAAGTTCCGTGATTCCTATAGTGGGAAAAAGGGGGTTAAACTTTGACAATTGGGAGGCGAACTTTGCCTGATCACTCCAGAAGATCCTGCCTAAGGAGCAAGTCCTTATAGCTTTCCATGCCCTCGAGGACGAAGCAACGAGCTTTGCCTGATCACTCGCCCTCGTTGCTAAGTGCGAAAACGATATGGTGGCATACTCCATGATTACCCATCTCAACGATTCGTGGGAGATTTGCCGATGGCACTAGAGGGATTAGAGCCTCTGATAAATTGCAAACTGTCCACTCTTGTCAGTGGAAGAGTGCCAGGGCACTCAAGGGAGTTATGGCACAAGCGGTTAACAGGGACCCCCACTTTTCAGTCCTGGTTAACCCCTTCAACCCGGAAAAGTGCATTGGAGATATTTTTTTTGAGTTTTTTCTGTGTTTTTTCTTTTGTCCTGTTTTATTTTTGGTCAAGGTTTGTGTGTGCCAAGTTTGGTGTTTGTTGGGGTCTTGAAGTTGACTGTTTTGGCTAGCCCTGAAAAATCCTGAAAATCTTGAAAACTAGAATGAGTGAATTTTACATGAAAACACACTTTTGCCTTGTTGTTTTATAGGTTTTTAAAGCTCTTTTTTCATATTTGTTTTTGTAAGTGGTTAGTATGATCTCCTCTCTATGAATTGGTGGCAAGTTTGGTTATAATGACCCTTGGGTTTTGTTATAAATGGCTTGACAAGTGGTCTGAAAATCGAGGTCTCCGTTAATCGTCTCTCAGTTATGGACGAGTTGGTTGTCGTGCCTGACCATGGGGTCACTGAGACTCAACTGGTCCAATTGTTTTATTGTGCCATGCCCGAGCCTTAGCGCGGGCATTTATGTGAGAAGAGCAAGAAGTCTACAATGACCTACGATACACCGAGTAGGAAAGTAGTGACTCTCGAAGCCCATTCCATGCCAACTTCAACCTTCTGGCACAAAGATTTGGACAAGGTGAAAAAATGGAAGGGCCATACCATCTCTGGCCAAGTTAGGGCCAAGGATCATTTGATCCTCACGTTAGATGGTGGTGGTATGGAAGCGGTCCCCTACAGTCAAATAGAGTGGGGCGTAG